TTCACATGGCTGTTTTCCTATTGCCTTTATTATTTATTGCTGGGGAGGAAATCAGAACTTTTGTGTCAAAAACCCACAAACAGCTGACTGGTCAGTGGGGCATAGGAGGAGAGCCCACTGATGTGCCTGCATGCTCTCTTCTATTCCACTCCGGTTTTCTTGTCACCTGGGATATATGTATTGAGAATGGAATACCTGCTTTCCAAACAACGTATAAGCCCGTGTTCTCTTGGACGACTTGAAAGGTGGCTAAAACCTCCACCTCTGTACATGCTTGGAGTCTCCCAATACTACTTTACCATACATCACAGAGAATGATACAGGGTTTTCCTTAAAAAAAAAAAAAGGCAGATGGAACAGGGTGTTCGGATGAGAAAGAAGTCAGGGAATCCTTGATTGCTGCCCTGAAACTGTCCTGCATTAAATTGGTAAGGATGACACCACTTGGCAGTCTTACTGCTGAGGCACAATAAAACTTGGCTATTAGGGGTAGTGCAATTTATGTGAACATACTTTTCTTCCAACTACCGAATGGACAGGAGGAACGTGTGTTAATGCAGCTATGGGGAAATGCCTTACATTTGTGTCTTTACAAACTGAGTTCAACTTTAAATAAGTATATTTATATTAAAATAAAAATAACATTGATAAAAATGGTTAAACTCTTGGGAGAAACTTGTGAAGTATTCTTGCAGGTTTTTTTGGGGGGGGGGGGGCCCGGGGATGGGAAAATTTGCCAAACCTTGGTTTTGCCTGTCACTGCCAATCATAGCAAGAGCAAGTGAAAACAAACAAGTTGTTTGTAGTAGTATACAGTGTGTGGTGGTTCTTCAGTATTCTGTTTTACTGTTAAAGTAGCCATAGGCTGATGAAGCTCCTTAGCTCTGAAGGCTTAAACTGTAAATTCTGTATACATATACATGAGATACTGAGTACTGTAAAATAGAACTTATGTTTGGTAACAGGCAACATTTGTTACATTTCCTTGGCAGTGAATTCCACTGAAATTAGTGTGGAATATCTGCATAGAAATTGTGTTGTAAGTCTTCAACATAGTTCAAAGTGTTTTCTGTTGATGCTTTATATTCTGCAGGAACAGATGTTGTTGTTGTCAAAAATGGACGACGAGTATGCGGTACAGGAGGTTGCTTAGCTAATGCTCCTTTGCATCAGAACAAGAGTTATTTTGAGTTTAAAATCCAATCTACAGGTCAGTCAAAAATCAGCTTTTTCCAGAATTAGTTTCAAATTATTCATATAGAATCAAAATTTCTGTAATGGCTGTACATATGGACTACCATGTGGAAATCCTATTTTATATATATTTTATAAATACTATGAACATTGTTGTAATGGTTATTTGAAGATTTTTAATCATCATATAACATGCTAAACAGAACCATCATGAAGGCATATCCTCATCCAATTATTGCTGTTTTTCACTGATCATTCAGCTAGGAAAAGTTCGGCTGTACAGTTGCATATGCAAATTTAAGCCATTAGAGTTATCAGCTTTTATTTATAAATGTTTTCCCACAGCAATGAAATGTAAGTTTTATTATCTTCATTGGAGACAATTTAGGATTGTTTTTTAGTGTGACAAACCCAGGAAAACTCCTGGACTTATTTTCCCTGACTTTGCCATTCCATTTTTTGCCTCTCTCATGATTTCAGGAATCTGGGGTATTGGAGTTGCAACTCAAAAAGTCAATTTGAATCAAATTCCTCTTGGGAATGATGTGAATAGCCTAGTTCTGAGAAATGATGGAACTCTTTACTACAACAATGAAGAAAAGAACAGATTGCCAGCAAACAGTCTGCCACAGGAGGGTGATGTTGTAGTGAGTTTTTGGTGTTTTTTTTTGAGTATCATTTATACAAATCAAACCAGAATTGATCATACTTCTTATACCAAAATATTACAAAATTAGTAGGCGACTGCAGTTACCCATCTTTTTTCTCCCTAAGAATGATTTAGCAGCTTATATGGACCAATGTTAGAAATATAAAGTAGGGCTGAAGTTGTGGTGCCCTGCTTCAAGAGTACCTTCCTTAATGTCACCTTTTGTCTTTTCAGTAGAGGGCAAGATTTTTCTATTTTTCCATGATCTTTCTTGGATGTTAATATTTGATATTGTGATAATTGTAACTTTTTTGTTTTCCGTGACAAGTATTGCTTGAGTTGACAGCAAACAATTTCAAGTAAATAAATAAATATCTGCCTAGAAAATGTTCAGATTAAAATGTACTGTATAAATCTGTTCAACTAAAACAAAAAGGGAGATGAAAGTTTATATATAACTCATATCTGTCTTACAGGGAATTACGTATGACCATGTAGAACTAAATGTTTATTTAAATGGAAAGAATATGCACTGTCCAGCCTCAGGAATCAGAGGAACAGTCTTCCCTGTGGTCTATGGTAAGGAGAGGTTCTCACAATCTATTTTAGCAGATGAAATGCTACACTTGACTTTGGTTCAACTCCCTACTTATCCATAAATTGAACTGGGTAATTGGGCTAGTTGCGATTTATTTCTGAGGCAGAAAACCTCAGAGTAAACTACAGGATTCTGTTTACCAATGCTGTCATAAAACGTACAAAAGCATAAGATCCCTGTCATCTGGTTAGATAAGCCATATTTTATCTTCCGTAATGCTCTATATGGCTATTTTCTCCATAATTTAAATAAATGTATTTTAAATTGCTGATTCCTAAACTGCCCTCTTTCCCCCTCTATTCCATGTTAACTACTACCTCTGTTGAATAATTCGTATGCACCTGTTAAATTTCTGCATGTCACTTATTTCAGCACAGCAGCTTAAAAATGTAAAACATACAGCCATGTTACTGGTAATGCAGCAGAAAGTCCAGGGTTAGTGAGCATGTTTGTTTGTTTATTTTAGAGGCCACCCAACTTTTAAATGACTCTGGGTGGCTTACAACTAAAAAACTCCCCAACGTATAAATTATACAGCTGACCAGAAGAACAAAATAACAGACCAAACCAAAAAGGGGGCTCCATGATCACCCTATCCCCAAGGCCTGTGGAAACAACCTGAATGACATAAGGGTGGGAAGCACACAAATCTCTGGTGGGAGTTCATTCCAGAGGGCAGGAATTGCAACATTTCTACAGTACTCTTCATCTCACAGAAAGCCTGAACACCCAAACAGAACTTGCAGTAAGAAACAAAGGGCATTTGAATACGATATGTACACATTCTTTATTCTTTACTTCTTTTCCTTACAGTTGATGACAGTGCCATTTTGGATTGTCAGTTCAGTGACTTCTATCATGCTCCTCCTGCAGGCTTTGAAAAGATACTCTTTGAACAGCAGATTTTCTGAAGGGTCCTACTGCAGATTTATTCACTAGCACTTTTTACAATCCATTCTTTCAAAACTTCACATTACTCCCAGAATACTAATCCTGTATTTGATAAGTCTATTTAATGTTTGGGAAAATACCAGATTATCTGAGAAGTATGTTGCAGGTGTTAGATTTAACTACTGTTTGTGATATGGATATTTGTCTTTGATGTAAAGCGATAAAGCTGACAGTATTTAGTGACCATGGGCTCTAAGAATGCTTGTTTTGTAAATGTTGTATTTCTACAAAATTGCAGAGTCTAATGGTTAATCAACAATTCTTCTCTAATATATGTAGTAATCAGCAAAACTGATTACAAGTATTTTGAACATAACACACAATGAAAATATTGACATCTGTTACCCTTTTTAATTGCTGCAGTTCTAATGTTTATTTCTGAGGACTTGTGTTAAAATTAGGATAAATTGCTGTCTGTTAAAAGCCAGGCCAATAGTATCTATCTTACTAAAACTGTCACTGGAACAAACAAAAAGGTACTGAATAGCCAGTTGCTTGTTGTGATAAAACTTTATTTTTTAATTCTTAATTACACTTTTGGAGTTCCCCAAGACATATAAAATGTACAGACTACTCTTCTCTTTGTTTTTATGGTTGTTTTAAATGGATTTTCGTGCACTGAGAATATTTATATAGCATTCCTGTACATCTAGAACTATGAAACTTGCTGTAAGGGTATTGCTATATCAAAATGATAAGGCTTTGTCTTTCCTTGTTTTTTGTTGTGTGGGATAGGGAGTGGGAATAACTATCTGAGATTCTCTGGTCACATTTCATATGTTTAACTATACCATAGCAAATAAGTGAAAAAGTGATTTGCTCTATTTTATTATATAGGTTTTGTAGTCTTAAGAGATTTATAGAATGTGATTTCTTCATAATATACTAATACTGGAAATACTTCCCTATTAACTTTATTATTCCTCAGGGAGGTGTCCTTTTACAGCCTTTTAGGAAATTCTTTTCAAACAGCCCTTTACAGATACACACATGAATTCAGTTTGTGCCACTGGAAAATATTCTGAAACTCCAAATTCTGAACTTAGAAGGATATATATAAAATGTTTGGTCTGCTACTATAAGGTCATGCATTTAACACAATTACTACAATAGCCAAAGTTTCTGGTCAGTGTACCTACAAGGGATGAAAAGGGCAATAGTAACAAAAAGTATATGCTCTCAAGTATATTTTTGCTATATTTGTCCCCTTAAAATTAAAGACAATATTCTAAAGTATGTGTAACAAACAACTCTTTTTGTTACTATGAGGCATTTAAAAAGATGAAAAAGGTATAGTTGAGAAAATAAACATAAATTTAAAATATTTTTAGAATTGAATTTGACATAAAATTCATTTACAAATTTTAATTATATGCCATCCTGGATAATTTTTATTTCATGCTCTTTTCCTGGTCCTCTTAAAAGTATCTGTTTGGCTACAGCAGAGATAACATGTTTTATTTATAACATTAGACATGAATTTAAACTCTGCCTTTTTAATATTCTGGCCTTGTCAAGTTTTTGTTCAATAATGTTAACTCTTTGCTTGTCATCTTCAGACACTAAATAAATCTGAATGTGATCCTCAAGCCAAAAAAAGTTTCTCTCCACTACATTACTGGAAGTCTGATAACATGTCATTGGATTTTACCTATTTTATCTTCAGGAATATATTTATTGAACATTTCATGTATTATCAGTCAATATTAAGGTTTTCACAAACCACCCTTCACATTTTCTGAATGTAGGTTTTCAAAATAAATTGCTGCTTATGTACTCTCTAATAAAATCAGTTTTATTTTAAAACGTCTGTAGAACTATCTAAAAGCGTTCAAATTAAAATCATGATCTGGACAGTCACACCATGATAAAACTGGTTTTACAGTTCCTGGATTGGATAGAAGAATACATCTGTTTAGCTGTTAAATTGCTAGATGTCTTTTCAACAGGTTTTCAGGATATTGATTCCAGCATCTTTGATCTGAACAGACTTCTATTAGAAAATAAGGAGATTCATTTGCAAGTTTTGTATTCATAAAACCAAAATATAAATTCTTGAGCCTCTCTAGATTTGGAGTACAGCTACTTTATACTATGAGCACTTGGTGCTCTCTAGATTTGGAGTACAGCTAGAACCATATACAGGAGAATTAAGACAAAAAACTAATTCTGAAAGATTGGATCCTGGGATGCTACTGTTGTATACCACATCATGCTAGTTCTAAACAGCCATTCCAGGATAATACACTGATTGACATTGTTCATCAAAGTAAATGTTAGCCAGAAAACATTGTTATTCTCTAGAAAATCAATTTTGTCCAAGAGATTTTGGAATTATATCACTGCTAGTTGCTCAAGTATCTTCCTCCAAATAGAATATCTGCAGTTGGCTGATAGGTATTATAATCTTCACAGTCCAGAGAGTCTCTTAATAGATTGGTTGTGTGAGCATATCCTTCAAGGTAAGTGAGAAGAACCTTTTTTAAAAAATCAGTTCCTGGACAGAGCCAGTCTTGGCTAAGTGTTATTAGCCAGGAAGAAGCAGCAAACATAAAAATGGCTGTCCGTTTTCCTTCAAAGAACCTTGGGTACATCCTTGGTGTAGTTTTCTATATCTCTCTCCTGCCATCTCATGGTTGTCTGGGTGTTAGCTATCCAGATCAGGGAGCTTTATTTTTGTGTACAGTAGTTGAAAATCTGATAAAATTATACCAGATGGTGCTTTGAGAGACCACCTCTCCCCAGTTGTCTCTACCCATCCCATCATATTTGGCAGGAGAGGTACTGATCCCATCAATTAAGAATGTCATCTTGAGAGACCTAGGAAGAGAGCATTTTTGGTTATGCTGCCTGCCCTTTGGAACATCATCTCCACAGAGATTAGATTAGCCTTGACCTGGTCTTCTGTAAGACCCTGAAGGTGTGGCTGTGTTCCTGGAAAGGGGGGTCAGAATATCAGAGCCCATAAAGTGATTTATGTTGACAGCCATTGTTTTATCTTGGCTGCTGATTATGTATTTATTACTTGTTATGTTTTTAACTCCTGTTAGCCCCCCTTAGTCGCTATGATGAGATGGGAAGCCATATAAATCGAAATAAATAACATATTTTAAACTGTTTGAACTGCAGCATTTTAAGACAGTAATTTTATTCAGTGGCAAATAGCAAGACTTTGAAAGTGTTGCTATTAAATCATGCAAAGAAGAAAGAAAAATCACACTTTGATGCTAATATCACTGCCATTAAATCAACCTGATAACAGACTTGCTTGTGATCAAACGTGGAGATTTTTTTTGCAACTTGCATTCCATCTGTCTCTCATGTGTTTATTCCTAAGTAACTCATAAAGTCAACTGCTGCCTTTGTTAGAAAAAGTAGCGTGATTATGTTAACTATCCATTGGAATTTCTGCATTCCATATACCAGTTAGGACTTCAACAATTGGGAAACTTTTTGAAGGTTTCAGAAATCCCTCAGGATCTACCAGTTTCCAAGGATGGTTTGTCCTAACTGATCTATTTGTACAGAGAATGGAAATCTAAACTTCCATAGAAAATGGTCTGACCATGGTATTGGATCAGAGCAAATTTCTGCACTTCTCCCATTTTATTGCAAACATCAGATCCAAAATATGTCTACCAGTCACATCTGAAGGACTACTGCCTCATGGGGCAACCTCATGGGACAGCATGGAGACTGAATTTATACAGGGCGAACAGCCTCACGGTCTTCAGAGCAGATCTTGAAATGATCAGACAGCTGTTGGGTCATGGGATTCTTCAGCAGGATCCCTAATATTGCCAGGTATCCCAATACAGTATAAGGTGCAAACATTAACTCCATTTGCAACAGGGAACCCTACTGCATATTCATGGAAGAAAGCAAGTATTACAAAGTTTGTGGGCGAGTGCAGTATTACTTACAGTGAGCGTTTAACTGTTCCCTTTATGGCAAGTTGAACAGCAGGAAACATCAACAATGCTTTGTTTAGCCAGTTTTTTTTAATACAGTAAGGCAAAATTAGTTGGGTTCCTACTTTGCGAAAAGTAATCGTCCTTGACTTACAAATCATAATGACTAGGTTCACGCAGGCCACACAATTGCTTCGCACTCTGTGCAAACTCGTCCCTCTTCTTGACCCAAGCCCCCCACCCGTCCCTTAAGGCTAGCTGCTAGCTAAGCTCTTCCCTGGAATCCTTAGTGGACTTTAGCTACTAAGGCCACCGGACTCGGGGAAAACTGAAGCTTTTCCTTCAGCCTCCACTCTTCCGCTTATTCGGCTCGCCCCCAACCCTTGATTTCTGCGCCGCATACGGGCAACTGTCATTTCCGCTCAGAAAAGCGAAGTGGAAATACCTCCAACCCCGCCAAGGCAGGCTCATCTCCCGACCCACTGAAGCCTCGGAATTTCTGCTCCGGCAACAGTCCGGCTCGCTGCACGCATGCGCGGTGTTCAGCCGTTTCCCGTTCGTTTCGTCACTGAGCGTCCCTCTGCCCGTTCCGCCCCTCCCCTCCCCTTTCGCGCGCGCGCTGTCGTCGCTGCTT